TGAAACGGAGGGCCATTTTCAGGCCCTCATTGTTTCGACCTGTCCCTAAGACTCAGGCACGTAAACAGGGATGCGGAACAGGCCAAGAATAGCCTGTTCCTCACGAGTTTGAGCAGGAGCTGCCGCTGCAGCCCCTGCCTTCCTTCGGCAGGCTCAGAAGGCACACCCGGTAGTACATAGGAAGATCCCATGCACTTCATGGGGAGGAAGTTCACTAGGCACGAGGTAGTCTTCAGGAGATCAGCCGCAACACTCAGGAGGAGCACTGCCGTAGTCTTCAGCGCTAGGTGGTATTAGCGCTAGCTGTAGTCTTCGGCGCTGGGCGCCATAGATGTAGCTGCAGTCTTCAGCTCAGGGCGCTGGTAGGTGGTAGATCGTAGAGTGGGAGAGAGACTGGCGGAGGCCAGTGATACTTACCTGTGGCGCCATCGCTCCAGCTCCATCTTCGTGGTACCTGCATCAAGGCGCCAACTTCACAGGTTCTTCTTCCTCTTCAAGTCCACCTTCTCTTCTCACCCTCTCGCCACCTGTCTTCTCAGACTACAATAGAGAGAGAAAGAGTTGTGACTTGAGACTTGACGACATTGGATCCAGACTGGACATTGGGATTCAGACATTTCGACGAGGGACTATTTGGGCCTGTATCGAGACTTGGTGTTGACGACATTCCCATCTTCCCTCCTCTTTCGTCTAACCCCTCCTCCTTCGAATGTGTATGGTTGGGGCTGGCGCAGTCTTCCAGTGTGAAGCGCCAGACCCCCTTGACACCAAATAACGATGATGATGACGTGTGTTCAGAGCTGCATTACAATATTGATTGTTCGGATCATTCGTATCTAAGTCTTCCGCTGTGCTATCTTATACTTTGTATTGAAAGGTCGGTTCTTGTTCTGGCCTGCACGTTACAGCATGCAACAGCGCCATAGCCGTGCTACACGCTGGCGACCTGAACTTCAACAACAACAACAACAAACACAGACACAAGAAGAAGAAGAAGAAGAAGAAGAAGAAGAAGAGGGGCAGAGGCCATACCTGCGTAAGCGGTACTTAACTGGGCGCCATAGCCGTGCTCCACATTGGCGACCTGCACAACAACAACAACAACAACACATCCCTACGTCAGCGATACTTAACTGGGCGCCATAGCCGTGCTCCACACTTGCGACCTGCACAACAACAACAACAACAACAACAACAACAACAACAACAACAACAAGAAGAAGAAGCACCTGGGTGCCATAGCTGTGCTCCATGCTGTCGAAGAAAAAGAAGAGGGGAGGAGGCCATACCTGCGTCAGAGGTACTTACCTGGGCGCCATAGCCATGCTCCACGCTGTCAACCTGCACAACAACAACAACAACAACAACAACAACAACAACAACAATAACAACAACAACAGCAGCAACCACAACAACAACCACATACACAACCACCTGGACGCCATAGCCGTGCTCCACACTGTCGACCTGCACAACAACGACAACAACAACAACAGCAACATCCACAACAACCACCAGCAGAAGAAGAAGAAGAAGAAGAAGAACCACTTGGGCGCCATAGCCGTGCTCCACGCTGTCGAAGAAGAAGAAAAGGGGCGGAGGCCATACCTGCGTCAGCGGTACTCACCTGGGCGMCATWGCCGTGCTCCACGCTGTCGACCTGCACAACAACAACAACAACAACAACGACAACAACAACAACAACAACAACAACCACAACAACAACCAGAACCACAACCACGTGGGGGCCATAGCCGTGCTCGACGCTGTCGACCTGCACAACAACAACAACAACAACAACCCGAACCTGAAATAGACCGCCGTGGTGGTCCCTAGGCTAAAACAATCCGTCATGACGGTACCGGACTGGACATAGACACCCGAGATGGCGTCGAAATTAAATCACTATGACGCCGCCAACTCTCTCCTGAACCTGAAAAAAAATGGACGAGAGGATACCGCACCGGAAATACGATGATATCGAATCCCGAAATAAATCGCCGTGACAGTACCGATCTTGGTACCGTACCTGAAGTAAATCACCGAATTAAACTGCCCCGAGGCCGCCGAACCTGACACATTCCACCGTGACGGTGTCTACCCATAAAATAAATCGGCGTGACAGTTCCAATCCAGACATAAACTGTTGTAGTGGCCGCGGACCAGGTAAAAAATCGCCGCAGTGTCCCAAACCTGAAAATAAGTCACGATAATGGCGTCGAAGCTGAAACAAGGTATCACGGTAGCACCGAGCCCGAAATAGACTGATGTCGAACCCGAAACAACTGTCGAAGCGGTCCCGAACCCATAAATAAATCGCTACAGTGGCCGCAGACCTCAAAATAAGTCACCGTAATGGCCTGAACCCTGAAACAAACTGACGCCGACCCCATACGGAGGCACAAAAAAAAACGTCGGATACCATAGGATGCAGCCGCTCCGCATCAAAACCGAACCTCTTTGAACCATGCGTCCGTAGCGAGCCAAATACAGAGGTCATACTGTCGGTCCAAAGTAGCAGCCTCCCTCGCTGTCCACGCGGTCGTCCTCGGACTGTCACAGTGAAGTTAGTAAATAGGTGGATCAGGAAAGTGGCACGAAAAACCTTTATCATCAGGGATTGGCGAAAAAGGTTGGAATCCAGAGAAGACTGATTAATCTGGGTTCAGAGCCGACGGTGGGAAATCCAAGCAAAATCAGGCCAAACATCGAATAATCATCGGTTCTTGTTTGTTCCATCATTTTTAATCATCCCCCCCTTTTCTTAACTCTATTACCCGAAATAGTAAAATAACCGTAAACTTACCAAAAATAAATTCCGAGAGAATCTTAATTAAATCGTTGAAATTCTTTGTTCCTTTTCTCCTTTATCATTTTTAACCTTTTCCTTTATTTTCAATTCCATTGCCGAAAAACATAAAATAACGGGGTATTTTCCCCAAAACTCAAATGCTGCGAAAAACAAGGAAATAAAGGAATATTACGTTTTTCTCTTCCCTCCTACTGTTCTCAATCTCTTTTCCCATCTTTAATTTAGATACCAAAAATGACAACAATTCGAGGCGCTATTTTGACCCCGATCATACGCTGCAAAGAACATCGCAGTGGGGTTAGTCCTCGCGATGCCCCCTTGCGGCAGGCCATTGCAGGCCTAGCCTCGGAACGGGCTGAAATGACAGCCTCTAGTTGTGCCGGGAGCGGCTACCCATTTCCCCATCTTTGAGGGTTACTCGTAAGGT